GTCTGGTACCCCAGGGAGCCTGCTGGCAGCGGCTGGCTCCGCCCTGGGCCCAGCAGGTGCCCACTGCCTCTGTCCAGCCAGGCTCATCTGTTCCCTCCTCACCTGCTCTGACACACATCTGCACCCGGGGCTGATTTTTTTAGATCTGCCAATCTTAAAAGAGATGATAAAGCCGACAGAAAAGACGATCCTAAAAAGAGTGACGATGGGAGTGGAGAGAAGAGCAAAGACCAAGACGACGAGAAACCTGGCCCTTCGGAGCGGCTGCGAGCCACCAAGTCAGGTGGGTGGCCGGTCAGTGGTCTCCAGTCTGGTCCGTGCCGGCCCCTTGGGCAGCATACACGTGAATGCCAGAACCAGGCCCAGGTCAGCCTGGCCCCTGCACACTTGGGAACCGTTCTGTGGTCTTCCCCATGACCAACGGCGGCCCGCATCCCAACCCTGATGGCTTGGTAGGCACGCTGGGCGTGTGTGGGTGCGTACTCCACATCTGGAAGGATGGCAAGGTGTAGGAGAAGGGATTGTGGTGTGACCACGCACCCTGAGGGTGCCTTCTCTCTGTTTCCATCTCTGTCTCTGGCAGGTGCAGCTCTCTGGTAATGCAGAGAACAGCATCGCTGCCATTAGTTGGCTGCACGGACCAGGGTTCCTGTGCAGTTAGGGTACTGTTTCCTCTCCGGGCTGCCAGCCTGGTCCATTGCTGCGTCCCTGACCGATTCCTATACTGGGCAGTAGTACAGAGACGGTTGCCATCTGTTTGTGAGCTTGTAGTTCTCAGGGCTGGGAAGTCCAAGGTCCTGGGCCTGTGACAAGGCCGAGGGACGCACAGGGTGGAAGGGCTCCACAGTTGCGGATAGGCGTATGCAGAGCGCGCGAGGTCCTGGTCTCAGAACAGCCAGCCTCCACCACACTGCCCTCTCACGAGAGCTACAGTTCACTACGTGTCCCAAGGCGCGGTGCGCTCACCTGCTGCCGCCCTGACACACAGGAGCCCGTCATGGCACCTAGGCCTCATCCTGGACGCCCAGGAGTACACTCTGCTCATGAGGGCTCCACGGTGCCAGCAGCCTGTCGTACCCAGCACGTGCATGTGCGTTCCGACGTGGCACGCCCACAGCAGGTGCAGATGGTTCCTCCCTGCCTCACTCCTTCCTCCTGCAGGAAGTCGAGGGACCGAGCGGACAGTGGTGATGGACAAGTCTAAAGGTGTGCCCGTCATCAGCGTGAAGACCTACGGCTCCAAGGAGAGGGTGAGTGGGCCCACCAGCCGGGTGCTTGGCACCCACCCCATTGGCTTCTCTGTGTTTTAGGTTGTTCTTGACCATACATTGAAAAAATGCCCTTGAACTTTTCATAAATGCAAAATTTTGAACTTTAAAAATAAATCTGGGACCAGCAGATGGCGTAATGGTTATGTCACTGGACTCTCACGTGATAGATTATGGTTAAAGTCCTGGACCCAGTGGCTTGAAACTCAAATGCCGAGAGCGTGTACATGCATGCCAAAAGTCCCGAGAGGAGTGTGGAGGAGAAGGGTGCAGCATGGCGGTCCCTCTGGGGGTGATTTCTCACTTTCTGTCTCTCTGGCGAGTGCATGCACCTTATAGCAAATCTCTCTTTTAAAAAATGTAGTAGTTTTTTTAGGGCTAGCAGGTGGCATGGAGGTTAAGGTTCTAGATTCCACGTGGCCATCTCCATGGTTTGAGTTCCATCCCTAGTGGCTTAGAAATCATGCCAGGTGTGTGTGTGTGTGTGTGCGCACACGCGCGCGTGCACGCCCACCTAAAATTCTGAGAGGAGAATGAAGGAGAAGGGATTGCAACATGGCCTTCCCCTGGGGTGATTTCTCACTTCCCGTCTTCCTCTCTGGGAGACGCACACTTACCCTGTAGCAAAAACGTGTCTATATATGAGGTTTAAAGCTGTACTCTACACCAGCTTCACTCTGATGGCAGCTGTGGCTTTTCCGCCTTCTCCCCCAGCCCCCAGGTTCTCTTACTGCAGGGCGCACGTGCTCATTAGACGGAGCGAGTGAGAAATCACTCCCCGGGGGTGGCCAGCCCTAGAATTCGCAGCAACTCTTGGTGGGATTTCTTGGGGAGAACCCCCCTGCTTGGACCCCACGTGTCTGTCTTGCCACTGTGCTGCCTGCCGTCTGGGTCATGGGCAGCTGTCCCTGTTCCGAAGTGGGACTTTCGGACTTCTGCACTTGGGGTGATAGACTAGCGGTGTGTTGAGGACGGGGCAGGTCCCGAGGGCCCCGTGCGGCTTGCTCATGGCCTTTCCCATATCCCCACTATTTGCACCTCAACTTAGTAATGCTCTCTGGGGAACTAGGTTTCCAAAAGCCAGGATCGCAAGTCGGCTAGCAGAGAGAAGTGGTCCGTCGTGTCGTTCGATAAAGTCAGAGAGCCTCGCAAGTCCAGAGACTCGGAGTCCCGCAGGTGAGTCGGGGCCCTAGAGGCCCACTGCCTCGTCACAGACTGCGGTCCTGATCGCGTCCTGGCGGGCATTCCAGAGGCCTCCGGAGTGGGTGCTGCTCTGAGCCTCTGTTCCCGTTGTACACTTGGCGTGAGGGAAGAGCAGGACGGCCCCGTGTTGCTCCCAGGTCATGGCCAGCAGGTCTGCCAGCGGGGCACATCTGTGTCCGTGTCCATGTCCGTGGGGTGGGCCGTGGGCAGGGCCTCGGGGCATTCCAGCCACTGCTGTGAGGGCTGTTTGGTCACAGTCCTGGGGTCCCCTCCCCACTGCTGAGCATAGGCCCGTCAGATGGCCCTGTAGGTGAGGCTGGCCACTCTGCATGTGGGGCCCAGAGGGTCTCTGATGTCATACAGGGACGGGCAGCCGCGGAGAGAATGATGGCACACATCGGGTGGGGACAGAGTGGTTTGGAGTAGACACGACAGACCGATAAGGAAACAGCCCAGTGGGCCGCGGGCAGATGCAGACAGTCAGCAGAATGGCGGGTGTGCATGGCCGAGAGACGTGCAGCATGCTGTGTGGTCTCTCCAGTTGCCAGAAATGCAGGTTAAAGTAGGCCAGCAGGTGACGTGGTGGTTAGCGCGCTGGACTCCCACATGGCCGACCACGGTTTAAGTCCCAGACTCAGAGACTTGAGAGTCACACCAGGCATGCATGCCCACATCCCAGGAGGGGAGTGGAGAAGAGCTTGTGGCGTGGCCCTACCACTGGGGGTGATTTCTTACCTTCCCCCTCTGTCTCTCTGGCAAAAATATATGTATATATACATTAAAAAATGAAAGACCACCTTTTCATCTCTCGATGTAATTGAGTTTGGCATATAAATTACGGTGTGAAGAGAGTGAATGTTTCCATTCGGGAGAGTCTTACGTGGACACGGGTACCCTGAGGGACAGTCGGGCACCGCCTCGTACGTAGACAGACTGGAAGGACGCGCCCTGGCTGCGATGTGTCTCTGCACTGCAGGGACCGGCTGGCGGCGTCCTGTCCCGCTCAGGGCCAGCTCGATGGCCACATCAGATCCCACTGAGCGCCAGCCCCACTCTGCAGGTTTAGCTGGAGGCTTAGGGGGCAAAGGTCCCAGCCTGGGTGCAGCTGCCACAAAGTTCACTGGCTCTTTGACGGGGTCAGGTCACACTCCAGAAAATTCGAGGAAGAGGTCCTGTTCCCATTGTAGCCAGCACCACGCCTGCCCCCTGTACCCGCCAGTCAGTGTGAGCATGACTTCCCCACCAGAGCGGGCAGTTTGTGAGCCCTGCACGTGGAGACACAGCCCTTGGAGCCAGAGCCGAGGGCGCAGGCGCTTGTGGCCCGGTCCCCCATGTGCCACCTGCCGTGGGTGTGGGTGTCCTGTCCAACGGCCTCCAGCAACCTGTCCTGCCCCACAGGGAGCGAGAGCGCAGCGAGCGGGAGCAGCGGCTGCAGGCACAGTGGGAGCGTGAGGAGCGCGAGCGGCTGGAGTTTGCCCGGGAGAGGCTGGCCTTCCACCGGCACCGGCTGGAGCGCGAGCGCATGGAGCGGGAGCGGCTGGAGCGGGAGCGCATGCACGTGGAGCAGGAGCGCAGGCGGGAGCAGGAGCGCATCCACCGCGAGCCGGCGGCGCGTGCAGGAGCTGCGCTATGAGGAGCGGCGGCCCGCGCTGCGGCGGCCCTACGACCTCGACCGGTGAGTCCAGCAGCCCCGCCGTACTTGGGTGGCCCTGAGTCGCAGACCCGAGTCGTGTTGGCTCAGCGTCTCCCTATGAAGGGAGCCTCGGGGACGTGCTGTGGTCCCGACCCCCCACCCCATGCCAGCAGGAGGACACAGGAGCGGATTCCGTCAGCAGAGGCCGGCACAGACCCTCAGAGGGGTTTGGACACCGGTTCTGGGGCGCAGGCTAAAGCACCTGCCTTTGGGCTCCTTTAGGCCTTCTGACTGGTTTTTTGCTTGTTTCAGTAACACGGTTGTAACCCCAGAGACTGCCCGTGAGGGTGGTGTGCACAGAACTGCTACACGGGGTGGCTCTGCAGCCTCACTGCCAGGGAGCCAACCCCACACAGCTGACTCTGTAGTTGGAGCCTAGACCTGGTGGCTCGAGAAACACCACGCATGTGGTGCGTGTGTGCCCAGCCCCGGAGAAGGGAGCTGTAGGAGAGCCTGGGGCTTGACCACAGCCCAGAGTCCGGACCTCATAAAGGCGCTTCCTTTCCCTCTCTCCTCCGCTTGGGTCCGCGCATATGCCCTCTGGTTACCTACCCCACGCCCGGTTAAGTTTTTAAAAAGCTGAACACCAGTGTAAAGGGAGCCTAGGTTGAGCCTGCCGTCAGGAGCGGGGACACCCCAGCACCGACCCCCGCCAGCTGTCCCGGCGCTGCACAGAGACAGGTGGCGTTGAGTCTTGTTCTTGACTCTGCGCGGGTGAGGGGCCCTTAGGTACTACAGCAGCCAGCGTGGCTTCCGTGGGGGACTCTCAACCTGTTTAGGACTCTGTCTCCGTACAGAGTCCCATGCTGGGCACCCGTCACGGCCACCCACATGTCCACGGTGTGTCTCCACTGCTCCGTGGGCATCTTGGGCAGCAGTCAGGGTGGGATAGTAGTGGCAGCAGGGCAGTTCTTGTGGTGCTTGCGGGTCCGGCTGCGTGGGCTGCCCGGAAACCGCCTGTGTGGTGCAGCCGGCTGCCCGCCTGGCCATTGGTGCCTGCATCGCAGAGCCAGGGCGTCAGACCTAATGGAACTGTCGCCCGACCGGGCACGGCTTGGACACTCGTGAGGGTGATCGCCGTCCCGCAGGGATGTGCCCCATGGCCGACACACTTGTACTTCCAGGCGGGACGACGCCTACTGGCCTGAAGCCAAGCGGGCCGCTCTGGGTGAGCGCTACCACTCGGACTTCAGCCGCCAGGACCGCTTCCATGACTTCGACCACAGGGACCGGGGCCGCTACCCTGACCACTCCGTCGACAGGTCAGCTGGGAGCGGGGCTCTCCGCGTGGGTGTGCTGGGCTCTGCGTGCGCCTCTTCCTGGCCTTCGGCTTGACCTTCATTTTCTTTTTCAGGAGAGAAGGGTCCAGGTCGATGATGGGAGAAAGAGAGGGACAGGTGAGCCAGAAGCTGGGGCTATGCCGTGGTGCCCCGGATCCCTTCTCCTCTGCGCGCGTGCTCCCTCCTCCGCGTGAAGGAAGGGGTGCGGCCGAGGAAAGCCCTGTCCCCGTCTCTGTCTGGGGTACAGGGTGGTCTGTGCTTGGTCTGGGCACCCAGTGTAGTCACTCTGTAGCCATTTTCGGCCAACCTCTGAGGCCGCATGCCCATCCTCGCCAGCTTAGGCGCGGTGCCTCTGGCGTGGGCGTGCCACTCCGCGTTCACCGGCACGGCCATGCTCTGTGCTGGTTCTCGAGGCATCCCTGGGTGTGTCTAGCTCAGGCCCGTGAGCGCGTGCGCACTCTCACAGCAGGTCAGGAGCTGCAGGAAAGAGCCGTCTCTGCCGCCTCCTGTCTCTCTGGGGTCCCCAGGAGAGCTTTGCGCTTCCGTGGGGCAGGAAGGACGGAGGCCGTGGCTGGGACACTCGGGCAGCTAGTGCCCTGCAAGACGCTCGGCAGCCTGTCGCAGCCCCGTGGCTCCGTGTACTCCTTGTCTTCTGCCTTGGCCTCCCTCGGCCCTCCCCGTGGTGGGGAAGCTCTGCCCGTGAGGGTGGTGTGCACAGAACTGCTACACGGGGAAGCTCTTGGCTCTGCATGGGGGTTCTCTGCCACATGGGAGTTGTTGACCTTCACGTGACTCCTCTCTCTGCTGGAGGTGAGCCGCGTGTGCAGGGCAAGAGATGGTCCCTGGTCCCCTCGTAGTGGAGAGTAGCCGGAAGGGAAGTGTCCAGGCCCTGAAACTGACAGAACCGAGGTCGCGTCCTAGGCCATCACTTTCTGCTCGGAGTGAGGGTCGTGACTCCCACCCCCGGTGCGGGCAGTTCCAGGGCAGCGGCGCCCGTGTGTGCGTGGGTGTGAGAGTCCTTGCCCAGGCCTCTTGGTCGTCCCCAGCTGTTTTCAAAGTGCAGTCGTTGGAGAGTGCTTGTGTTCTGGACTGAGCTGGAGCACGCCGCTGTCAGTCAGGAGGCGATACTGCCCCGGTGGGAAGCGTGACATCTGACTACACGGAGGTCACAGGGTGCACGTACTTGCAGGCCTCGTGGAAGTGGCGTGGAGCTTGTTACATCTGCAAATGCTGGGGAGAGATGGAGTCGGCCTGCTGGTTGGAGACGAGGTCTGGCCATGTGGCTTCCCCACTCTGCGTTAGATGCTCCTCTGTCTGGTTTTGTGACTTAAGATACCCTGGGCCAGGAGGTGGCATAATGGTTAAAGCGCTGGAACCCACATGGCTGACTCCAGTTCGAGTCCCAGACTCAGTGGCTTGAAAACAGCAGGCACACGTGCATGCGTGCCCAGAATCCCGAGGGGAGAATGGAGGAGAGGGGATTGCGGTGTGGCCATCCCCCCGGGCAGTAATTTCTCACTTCCTCGCTGTTGAGTACACACACCCTTTGGCAAAAATCTAAGGAAACGGGTGTTGCAGTGATTAGTTAAAGGTCACTGTGTGATTCTTAAACGTCTCTGTCTGTCTGCTCAGTGGAACGAAGTGGCCTGAACCATGAGCTGTAGCTCCCCAGGTCAGCATGCCTCGGAGAGGTGCACGGGAGCGTGTCTCGGGTCCCTCCAGAGGCACTCTGGCCTCGATGGGCCCCAGTGTGCGTCCCATGGAGGGGAGGGCTTGGAGCCCCCGTTGGGGGAGTGCTCAGGCCTGGGCTCCCCAAGTGACAGCGTGTGCATCCTCCGCTCACGAGCTCCTCTTCGTGGGGCAGCAGTCAGGTCACGGGGTTCCCAGGCGCTTCGTCCAGGGACTGGGCAGAGCCCAGGCCTCTGTTGCGCGTGCAGAGGAGCAGGCCCCGGGATCGTGAGGGCCCAGCTGTACTCATCCCTGCAGCAGAGCAGGCCGTGCACGCTGACCTCACGTCCCGGGGCCTGGGCTTAGCGTATGCAGCTTTCTCTATTCCTTTCGACAGCGGGTAGGTCGGGGCTGAGCACGCATGGGCCAGGCTGGCCTGGACAGCTGTCACTGTGGCCAGTGGGCCCCTGCATGCTGAGCAAGGACCGGAGAGGCTGCCGGCCACCTGCCTAGGTGACCCAGGAGGGGCTCACTCCCAGAGAACGTGTGGTTGCTCACCGTCCGTGCAGGTGCATCGTGCTGGATTCTGGAGGAGAGTTACCAGGCCAGCTTTGGAGGGTGGGGGAGGGTCCCAGCAAGATGGCTGGTGTCCATACACAGTAGGGCACTACTTACGGGGGCGGCCCGCTCTGCGGGCAAAGGCAGCGGTGTGTGAAAACTGAGGCGTGTAGGCTTATGCGTGTTGGAAGGCATGTGCCTTGGCCTGTGTGTAGTAGAAGACAGAGAAGACCACGGGCTCTGGGCCACTATCCCGACTGGGAGGTCTCCCTGGGGAATGCCACCTGTGCTGGGTGACCCCGGTGTCCTGGCGCTGAGCGCTCAAGCCCCTGCAGCCCCTCACAGCCTGAATTCCGGCCTCTGACGGGAACCCGGCCCCCTCTCGCATCCGTCCGGCCACTGTGTGCGCGGGGAGCCCCGCAGCCTGGGAGCAGGGCCTGCCAGCACACCACACATGGCCCCATGGCCCTGCTGTCTGCTCTGTCCTCCACATCGCACACCACGGGAGCCTGGGGTCCTGGGGCCCTGAGGTTGACTCCAAGGCTCTTTCCATCTGATCTCAAACCCAGCACTACCCTGAGCGCCACGGAGGACCAGAGCGCCACGGCCGGGACTCCCGCGATGGCTGGGGCGGCTACGGCTCGGACAAGAGGATGAGCGAAGGCCGGGGGCTCCCTCCTCCCAGGTTCGTGTCCTGCACCCCGTGGTGCCCCTTACAGCTCCCCCGCCAGTGGGTCTTGGGGGACCCTGGGCCCAGCTAGCTCCCCGCAGCCCTCCTTGTCCAGAGGGTGGCAGCTGGGGCCGAGTCCCAGAGCGCCGACCAGGGTGGCTGTGGCACCAGCCAGGGGTGGGCAGTCCAAATCAGAGATGCCTTTTTCTAAGGGGCAGACGTGACTGGGGGGACCATGGCCGAAGGATCGAGGACGACCGGGCGTGGCAGGGCGCTGCCGACGGCGGCATGATGGACAGGGACCACAAACGATGGCAAGGTGAGGCCCAGCCCGTGCTTGGGTTCTTTGTCGAGAAGTGACTGAAAAGACGGAGGCCGCCCCGGCTCGTCCCGTACTGGGTCTGCAGGGAAGACGCTGGTTGGCGACTTATGAATGGAGGGGTCCACGCACCAGGGCCTTCCACCTGCCGGAGTCTGAGCCGGGGTGGTGCAGGGTCAGATCCATCCTCCATGTCCACCAGGAAGCAGGCGCACAGCTCTGCCAACCGGCTGGCCTGAACGCCCTGCTGAGCGCCACCTTGTCTTGCAGGTGGCGAGCGCAGTATGTCCGGGCACTCGGGGCCTGGCCACATGATGAACCAGGGAGGCATGTCAGGGTAAGGCCGTGTGGGCGGTGCTCCCCCCACCCCCCGGGACTGCCCTCCCTGGCCTACGGCGCCCCTTGGAGAAGGTCCAGAACAGCTGAACCTTCCCAGCCCCAGCCAGCCCCCTCACGGCCCGGTCTTTCCTGGTCGGTGCTCTGGCACCCTAGGGGGTGACTGTCGCGCTGCTGCCCGAGTGGCCGGCCTAGGGGTGCACAGAGGCTCTGCGTTTGTTCCCAGGAGAGGCAGCGTTGCTCCAGGCGGGGCCTCTCGGGGCCACGTGATCCCGCACGGTGGAATGCAAGGGGGCTTTGGAGGACAGAGCCGGGGGAGCAGACCCAGCGACGCCCGCTTCACTCGCCGCTACTGAGCCCTTCGTCCCGTGTCCCCACCACGCAGCAGCAGGGCTGCGTGCTCTTAGGAGTTCGACTGTGTACAAATATTTTTTTTTATCTGCTGCCATATTGTAGCTCAATACAATGTGAATTTGTTTTTTGGTTTTGTTTTTGTTTTTGTAATAAACGTGTTTCCGTTCACATACCCTTCATTCAGAGTGCCGTCTTTTTATTTCCACCTCTTTGAGCCGCAGCTGTGTCCGGGGAGGGCCCTGCAGCCCCTGCAGGGCCCAGGACCGGTGTGTGGGGCCACCTCCGGCAGCTCCTGTTGTGTTCTTTTCAGAAATGAGTCGTCAACTCTGCCCCCACCCACCCTGCTGGCTGGTGGCCAGCTGAGCGGCCAGCCCGGTTCCAGGCGTGGGCCGGCCAGCAGTCGGGCGCTCCGTGGCAGCAGCAGACTGCACACTGCTGGCCGCTGTCCCCTGGCCCCTTCTGTCACTTCATACACGAGCAGCACACGTGCGCCGCAGAGAGAAGTGTGTGTGTTGAGATTTCTGCTCTAGCATGTGCACTCAACGGAGAGACACGGGAGACAGCAAGCAGTCGCCCCTCAGGCACGCTGCAGTCCCTTCTCCGTCGTCCTCTGGGGATCTAAGGCACACGCGCCCGACTGAGGATTAGGCCACTGTGGACAGGACGCGAACCGTCGACTCCACGAGTCTGACCACATAACAGGCCATCTGCCGGCTCCTGTTTGTTTTGTTGTAATTGCCAGACTGGGGAGGGAAGTGCCCCCATGGGGCAGGCTCGAGCCACAACCCTTCTTCCTCCACGTGCCCCCATTGGAGTTTTTGGTGCGCACACAGGCACCCCGTGTGTCTTCAAGATGTAGGGCCGAGATTGGAACTGCAATCAGCCACGTGGGATCCTTACACAAGGCGCATAACCATCGCACTACCGGGCTGGCACCAAACTTGCTTTTTTTTTTACGGGTTTGTGGTAGGTTTATTTTTTTCCATGAGCGAGAGAGACATAGACAGGCCCTAGCATGGTCTTGCGGTGGTCAGCCCCGGCTGTGGGCACACACAAGCCCTGCGTACTGGGGAGGGTCTCTAGGTGTGAGCCCGGGCCTTCCCGTGTGGGTCCACCCAAATGCAGCGCCCCCAGGCCTGGCCTTCCTGGCTGCTCTTCTCACCAAGGACCAGGGCTGACAGGTGAGCGGCGGGGCCCAGCCAGCCTGTCCTCACGCAGCCGTGCCTGTCCCTTCCCACCCCAGCCCTGTTCGTCAGCCCTTGGCAGTCCTGCACACCACGCAGGCTCTGGGGACGTGGCCCAAGTAGCGCGTCCCCACGGAGCTGGCACCCTGCCACTAAGCCACACACAAGCAGATGCACCCACGGGAGCAGAGGACCAGGCCGGGGTCAAGGACTGGCTGGCCCATGGGTGGCACTGGGCCTGACAAATCCCTTACAGGATGTCTCCTTACAGACACCCTGACGGGGACACAGTGCCCCTGCCACAGCCTGCCCTGGGCCAGCCCCTGTAGAAGGGCTGGTGGGCTGCTCCAAGGATTGCAGGGTGAAGGGCATTCTCCTGGGACCGGGTTCTCTTCCAGTCCCCTGCGGTTACAAAGACCTTTCCAGAAGGCCTTAGCTCCTGCACTCCAGTCCCTGGGACCACGGTGGACTGCAGAGCCTCACGAGGTGGGGACACCTGGCTGTCCCTGCCTGTGCCCTCGGCCAGCAGTCCACAGCTAAGGCCGGCCCTGCCCTCGGCCACATCCAGGAGGACCTGGGCGGCACGCCGGATCCCCACTGGTCTCTGGGGGCGGTTCTGGCCTCCACTTCTGGTCACCCAGCAGCGGTGCATCCTCACCCTGCCACGCCAGCCCCTCCACCAGGAGCCGCGTTGGGCGCACCGGGGGGCCAGCCACTGTCAAGTTGCCCACTCAAGTGTCCCTCGTCGCCCCTCCATCCCCACTAGCCGGCCTGCCCCTGTAACCCGCCGGCCCCGTCTTAGCTCTGTGGCCCGTACCCCACCACGGCACACCCTGCTGCTAGCCCGGCCTGGCCCAGGTGCGGCTACTAAGACACCTCTGGCTGCGAGGGGATGCAGTGCCACGCCAGCCACACCTTGCCCTGTGGTCTCTGACCAAGGCCGTGCACCTGGGGGCCTGTTTCATCTGAACATCCATCGGCCCGGCCCGTGGGTGGACCACGCGTGGCTGAGTAAGGCCAGGGCCCCACGTCAGACCTGCACTGGGCGCAGGAGGACCGCAGAGGTGAGGTTTGGGGCTCTCGTGGACCAGGGCTGGTCGGAGACAGCAGGACCCCTGGTTCCTTATGGAGGGGGTGGCTGCGGCTGGGATCCAGGCAGGGCGGTTCGCGTCACCTGGTCATGCAACTGTCCCCTGCCAGGTGGGCCCCGGAGCCTGCTCCTTCCCCGGCCACGGTGGGCCCGGGTATTTCTGGACCACAACGCCGTAGCCCCGCCTGCTCAGCCTGCCCTCTCCTGGTGCCACCTGCAGGACTGGGGCCCCGGAGACCTCCCTGGGGAGATGGAGGCACAGGCAGTGTGGACTCTGCATCCCCAGCGCCTCCCCTGAGCACGGGCCAGGCAGCCCTGAGGAGCTGCCCCGGGCCCTGCTCCACCTCAACAACCCGTCCCTTCCTGAGCTCCATCCCCCAAACCAAGCATCCTCAGCCCCAGAACTCAGGAACGGGGGCCCACGCCAGTGCAGGCCCCCCAAGCTGCCTTCTGACGTCTGCCCCCAACACCCTGCAAACCCATCCCCCGTCCGTCCGCCTCTGACCTGGCACAGGCTTCCCGCCATCACTGGTCAGGGGCCCTCCGTGGCTGGGTGCTGGGCCTCGCAGGGAGCCCACCGCCTGAGCCAGGCCTCCAGCAGCCGACCCAGCCTGGACAGAAGACGAGGCCACACACCCCAACGACCTCTGTTCCTCAGAGTCCCCAGGGTTGGTGGGGACAGTGTGGAACTTGGCCAGGGGAGACTAGGCTAGATTGGGGAGCTGGACAAGATAGAGGAACGTGACCTCGGGCTTGTACGTGTCCGACAGCAGAAGTGCCAACTCCACGTGCCAAGTCCGGCTCCCAGTCTGCCCTGCCCGGCCTCAGCCCTCCACCCTCCAAGACCTGCAGGAGGGGGACCCGTGGCCCATGCCTCAGCCCTTCCCGGGGCCCTGAGCACCGTCTACAAAGCTCCGAGCTCAACCCCCTGCACGCCAGGAGCCCTTCCCGTGCCCTCAGGACCAGCGCAGGGGTTGGGGACACTTCTGAAGTCCTTTATTGGGCCGGGGAGGCCAGGAGCTGCTCTTGGAGTGGGTCCCAGTCTGGAGTCCTCAGGTCTGCGGGCGGGCGACCGCTGGCTGGCTACTTGGCTCGCTGCTTCACGTACTCCCAGCCCTCCCTGGAGTACTCGCAGGCCTTGGAGGGGGCCACAGACAGGGCCGACATCACCCGGACAACACCTGCAGAAGCGCAAGGTCCCCGGGTGAGGGCCCCCTCGAGGACCGAGAGCCAGCCCCGGGGGAACTCCATGGCCCCGAAGCTTTTTCAGGGGCATCGCTCCCAGCAGGGAAACCAAGGCAGAGATGCAGAGCCTTCCCAGGACAAGGGTCTCCCACCTGTCACTCTACCGAGCAACCCACCGCCCAGCTCCCAAAGGGGGCTCCGTCCTCCTCCCCTTCTCTGGAATCTCTGGGAGACCCACACAGCAGGAAGAGGGACCGCCGGAGGAAAACTGCCAAGAGGGAGGGATGCCAGGCTGGAGCGCCTATGCCCGTCCCCCCACCCAAGCACGCGGACCGGGACCTACCTGAATTCCAGGTGTCGCGGACCGGAAAGTTAATCTTTGGAGGAGCCGGGAGCTGGTAAGAGACGGCAGGAAAGGCTGGTGAGAAGGGGAGGCCTCCGCAGCCCCCCGACTCGGGCCAGCCCCAGAGCGGACTCCCACCGAGCCCGGCCTCAACACCCGCCCGTACCTGGGGAATCTGCAGACCCGTCTGCTGGCACAGGTACTGGCTGAACTGGTACACGGCGGGGGGCACCACCTCCTCCGCCTTCCCCAGGGCCGCCTGGCTCTTGTCGCTGGGTCCCAGCAGCTCCTGGTCATACACCAGGTACACAGCGCCCCCCGCCACGCTGCCCTTGATGAGGAACCTGCGGGCAGGGCAGGGCAGCTCAGCGGACACCGCGGGCCACCCACAGGGGTCCAGGCCCACCGGGACGGTTAGCAGCCCTGGGGCTCACTGTTCAGAGGGCGACGCTCGGGTAGGCCAAGCACAGCACCCATTTTTTTCCTTTTTTAGAGGGATTTTTGCTATAGGGTGCGTGCACATGCCGGAGAGACAGAGACAGAGAGACAGCGAGAAATCACCGCCAGGGGGGATGGTCACGCCGCAATCCCTTCTCCTCCATTCTCCTCTCGGGATCTTGGGCACGCACGCACGCGCGCCCGGCGTGAGCTTAAGCCACCGGGTCCGGGATGCGAACTGCAGTCAACTACGTGGGAGTCCAGCGACGTCACCATGACGCCGTCTGCTGGTCCACAGCGTCCAATTTATAGGGTGCAAAACAAGGTAACCCAACGCCGCTTTAACTGGTAAACAGGCCGCGAGCAGGACAGTGGCCACTGGAGAGGCCAGAGAGGAGACAGGGACCATCCCAAAGGCTCCCAGAGCACAGAGGGTCGCCAGTGGCCCCGGGCGCTTCCTGCCCGTCACTCCCGACCAACGCGAGCGGCCGGACCCCTGTGCACCCCCACTTCACAGAGGGGGAAACCGAGGCTCGGGGCGGGCTCTGGGACGCGGAGGGGCTGCGGAAGGCGATGGGTGACCGCGAGAGCCTCGACGTCCCGATCTGGGCCAGGATGCGGGGAGACCGACCGAAGGGACCGAACTGGACGGGGACGCTATCTGGGGACTCGGGTCGCGCCCGGCGGCCCCACGCACCTCATCAGCGACCACACTCGGGCCACCATGGTCGCTCGCTCCGCGCAAGGACACTCCACTCGCCCGCCGCTTCCCGCAGAGGCCTTTGGGAGATGTAGTCCGTCCTGGGAGCCGCAAAGGCCTCCGGGAGTGGGAGTTCCGTCAGGGCCCGAGACTCCAGAGAAGGATGGCGGGCCCACCGCTAGAGGCCTCTGGGAGATGTAGGCGTCAGGCCCGCCGCAAAGCCGTCCGGGAAATGTAGTCGGCACCGCCCCGCGAGGCACCTGACCGCGACGCCTCCTGGGAAATGTAGTTCTGGGGGCGTGCGGTGGGCCACAGGGGTCGGGCGCCTGCAGCGACACTTGATGGTGACCGAGGAAGATGTCGGAGCCCAAGCGACCCGCCCGCGCCCGCGCGGGGGATTAAGGACCCGGAGCTAGATGAGCGCGACTCGAAAGCTACTGTCACGGCAACGAGAAGGCCGGATTGTTCCAGAGAGGCGGCTGATCGGGGAGCGCGGGGCTGGCGGAGAGCCCCGCAGGAAGCCGTTGCCTCGCAACGCCCGCGCTGAGTCCCAGCCGCCGGGTGCCACCCCCGGGGAGGTGGGTTCGCGGTCACGTGACTCGGGTCCTACGGCAGGGGGCGCGGTCAGGGTCCGCAGGACTAGGCAGACACCGGAGGCCCGAGGGGCGTTCGGGTGGCTGCCAGGCCGGGACCTCAGGCCCTCTGGACGGCGAGAGAAACGGAGGCCCGCGTGGGTGAGTGCGCGGTTGAGGGCGCGCAGCCGGTCCCTCGTCCCCTTTGTCCAGAGAGGAGGCAGAGGCCGGGCGAGGTCTCGAGCCGGGGCGTTCTGCCAGCAGCTGGGGCTCCAGGCTTGTCCCACACCCGGCCCCGGATCCGCCTCCCCGCTGGGGACCTCAGGCCCTCTGGACGGCGAGAGAAACGGAGGCCCGCGTGGGTGAGTGCGCGGTTGAGGGCGCGCAGCCGGTCCCTCGTCCCCTTTGTCCAGAGAGGAGGCAGAGGCCGGGCGAGGTCTCGAGCCGGGGCGTTCTGCCAGCAGCTGGGGCTCCAGGCTTGTCCCACACCCGGCCCCGGATCCGCCTCCCCGCTGCGCTCGGTTGCGGCTGGAGGCGGGGGAGGGCGGGCCGCGGGGC